TTGTCCAAATTCCACTAAAGATCCTTAGGACACACCTATAAATCAGAAGGAAGAATAACGAAGTTATACCTGAAGACAGGAGGCAGGACACGAGTCTTGCTTGTTGAATCATTGCGAGGGAATAGTCATATTACCTCAATGGCATCTACAGGGGTTTGGACCTCCCCTCCTCCTCACCTCTGCCAGAAGAAACCTCAGCTGGCATGCCCAAGATTCTCTCCCACCCTCTCTTAAGTGATTTGACAGCAAGCAGGGTGTATATAATTTCTAGCTTCGCTAATTAATTAAACTCAATGTAATGTAATATAACTTTCTCGAGCTTTAATTTTTGGCCCATTGTTATTGTAGCTAATAATTAAAGCCAAGATTATTAAATATAATTCCACGGAACTTCAGTTACTAGCCTAGTCTGGCCGCGATTAATAATGAAACCCATATTTAAGCCCAACACTAAATATGATATTCTTTAAACTTAGTTCAATACTAAATAGTGACAATGAAATTATATTATGCATGCCATTAATCCCATTACGTAATTAATTCCTGGTCTACGTCTACTCTTTTGTGGGACTATGAAGGTTCTTATTACATCAGCAATGATCTTTAGATTACAATGGGCGACAGCTAGCGGTATATTTCTGTTACCGAAGTGCTAGGAATGTCCATGATTCAACAAATCTAGTCCATCATTAGTAAACCATGTTCCTTATTCCCCCTTATTCAAGTATCCAGATTAAACTTGAGGCATGGAATGTGTCGTCTTTATGATTCAAGCTACATTTTTTGATCCCCAAGTAGACTGATCAAAACCAAATGAATCAATATCACTATTTCATTCATCTGAGCACAATCACGCATGTCTTTTCTTTCTTTTAAAAACTTTTTATAACCCACAATCATGCATTTCTTAGCTCTGCTAATTCATGGAACCCACAGATATCATTCTACATGATTTGTGATACATTCAAGTTCAACCACTGCCTTTTGGCCATGTCTATCACTTGATAACGTGACGCCAAAGTGTACAACTCCTATTGCAGCGAGTCATAGTGACTTCAACTCTAAGGTGACCACATGCATTATAGTTACTATAAGTATCATTGATGACACTTTCCATCAATCCATGCAGCATTATCATAGCGGATCAGCTCATCATCCTTGTTCTCCAACCAGCACCCATGTATTGATTTGATATCTCTCATATCCATGACTACAGTCATCAGCCAGCATATATTGATGCTACTAAGAATATATTCTAGGGGCAGTCATATGTTGATGGGACAATTGCAATAAGGTCCCATGGAAGGAACATGTTCACAAAATGTGTCCCATAACAAGTGAGCAACTTGTAATAACAAGTTTCAGAACAAGAAATAATAACTGGTTTCAACTACTCACTCATCATTAGGACTCTTTCATAATAATCTTTCTTCTTTAGGACCTCACTATAATTCTCCCTGTATTGATTTTTATTGCACAAATATAACAACAAACATAATAACTCGATTTTGCTTCTTAACAAATCTTAGTACAATGCATGTTATAACAATCATCTCATGATTGCTTTTTAGGACGTACGCTAACAGATAAATCGGAGGAGTTTCATCAACCCCCCCTTTAAAAAAAAAAAAAAAAGTTTGAATTCACGTTAGAGAGACTCTGGAGTTGGCATAGAAATCAATCAATTAATAATTCAGGGTACATAAACTATACCTGGGCCTCCTGCTACGAGGCTTAATTTATAGGACGTTCAATGCCACCTCCTGCCATAACCTCTTCCCTGATCCCATTGTCCAACTCCACGCCACCCACCAAATTGATCACCACCACGCCATCCACCAAATTGATCGCCACCACGCCACACCTCCACCTAACTGATCACCACCACCTCTACCATCATGAATATAACGCCGAGGTCTTCTTTTCTCCACTGACAATACATAACCTCCAACCTCAGTTCCATCAAGTTCTAGTGCTTTGTTTAAGCCATCAATGTCCATGAAGTCTACCCAAGCATACCTGTAACGAGCACGCATTTACAACCAAGGTGGGCAATAATTATATATACTGATGATGATTATTCAAATTGACCAAGAATACAGAAAAATACTTCCGTATTCTAGTCAAATACTAAATTTTATATCATTATATTGCTGTTATGCTTTCTATATTGCCACTTCTATTATCATTTTTCATTGCAATTCTTCACCAACACAACTTATATTATCATATTTTCATGTTTGCCAACACATAACTATGTCAAGTAATAAAAATGTGAATACCACTCTTACTCTCGCCATGAAATTTATTCTTCTAAAACTATTCAGTAAAAAAAATTGATCATAAATTATGGATTTCCTCTGACTCGGTTAGCAGTACAAAATAAAGCTCATTCAATTATAAAAGCATCTTATATAGCATGTAATCTGTTATCTCTATTATTGTCATTTTATATGTTCGCACAGAATTTTGAAAATTATTAACAAACCTTTCAATGATCAATTCAACTACGATAAGTATGTCTTCATAAAAAAAAAATATTAAAAGAGAATTTCACCATGATCGAACTCACCTCCAAAATTGATATTAAAACATAGATAATAATCCACAGAGTGATTAAGCTACAGACAGTGATAAAATAGAAGGCAATAGCCTGGACAATACCAACAGAAACATAAAACCACCTCTAGCATTCGAGTTCAAGAGCCTAGGGAATCTCCAACATTCAACTCACGTATTGCCTAACCTCCACGAAACTCTTCTCCCCAAGCACATACAGCAAACAAACCCCTCTATCTCCCACAGACCTTAAACAATCCACATGGATCAGCCTTGCCTATTAGACAAGGGCCCACTAGCTATGGGTCCCACACAATTTTTTTTACCAAACATTATTTTTACTCCATTTTTAACATCCGCAACATTCTTAGATTGATACCAAATTGTTTTTGTTCCCTTTATGCAATGTCAAGACAGCAAGACTGAAAGGCATATGCAAAAAATAACAGCACCCACTTATATGAGATAAAACTATAGAGGCTTGTTAAAAATTTTCAGAGTTTATTACTACATATTATCGAGTTAACTAAGACATTGGCCATTATAAACAATGAACAATGAAAGAAACATGCCCCTTAGTAGAACCAGTGTCATAATCTCTTGCAATTGATATCCTCGAAATTAGTCCACAAGAACTGAAATGCTCTCCCAGACTGGTCCTTATCTGAAAGAACAGAATTGGAGTCATTAGCAACTAAGAAATAACAATACAAATTATGCCTTAAATAATGAGACGTGCATGCAATATTGTCCACAAGAAAAATAACAACATCAAGCCTTATCACACTAAGTGGGGTCGATTACAAGGATCGCACGATGCTATTATGCTCTCTGAACAACCAAATCCTTAGATAGGTTGTTAACCAAAAGGTCCCCTTCAATTGGAATCATTCTTATCCACAAGAAATAAAGCAAGAAATATGGTTGAGATAGAATTACCTCATCTTCTCTTAAAGATGTATCAAAACCCCTTACAAACACTGTTTGAGACTCAACACTTCCAGAGTTTTCCGTGTTCCCATGAATGCTAACAAGTAAACAGAGAAGTGAAGATGTGGATGTAAGGCAGAGAATGAGATGAAATATTAAGATAGGAAGGTATTGGTGAATACCCGCTATTGAAAGAATGCACAATCTTTTCATGAGCCAAATCAAGCCTTATATATTGTCTCAACAGTTCGCTTCCATTCAACTTAAGGGCCTAGCATTACATGATAAAAATTCTTCAGCTCAAAATGGTCTACAAATCAATGAAGCACACCATCTTTGAACATTAATAAACCTCAGCAGAAGTAGGGACAGAACAAGCTTAGAGGTATAGCAGCTCAGAAGCACAAAGGAGAGAAGTACCGACTTGTACCCTCTATATTCGTAATGGTCAACCCTTGCTCAAAGAAGACAGACTTGTAATGATATTAAATCCTATGACAAACATTTCCATAGAATAGACTCTATGATGGAATATGATATCAATGAGGTTGGAACATAAATGTTAGTTATGTTCAACTAGTTATTGCAAGCTGCTTTGTTGTCAACGAGATTTTTTAGTAATTATATTTCTTCTTGGGAACTTTATAGCAATTCTCCCTAATAATAATAACAATCTAAACCCCCATCATATGATTTTTAAAGGGTTCTGAATGATGAGCGAACTAGACATTATGAGGTAAGAGCTTACAGTTTGTGCCGCTTCATAAGTGGCAAACTCAATATGTCCGAATCCTTTAAACCTCCCTTCACGATCTGTAGCTAAACGGATATCAATAATTTCTCCACAATCTTTAAACAATTTTCCCTGAACAATGGTGAAATCATAAGTAAACAATAAACATACAAACATACAATAGCAGGCCTTAACCCCATAGGTAGGGTTAGCTATAAAAATTACATGACACCGTATGAAATAACTACCGAGAACTTGCATATCAAATAGTACGTACAAATCAGCCCTTTCCACGCTATACGACAGGTTTCCAACAAATACTGTCTTTGATGTGGCATTTTGTTCTTTTGGAGCAGCTGGCATTTTAGCCTGTAACATTTCATAGAATCAAGCATGAGATCACTGACTGAAAGACAAGTCACAATTATTTCATGCCCTCATCATAAGATAAAGAAATAAACATTTATGTCAAAAATTTCCTCCTTGTACATGCGGCAAAACATTTAAGCCACCAAAACTGACCATCCAACGCCTAAAAGATTTTCAACCTATAGGTCCTAAGAAGCAAGGTTAGTTTAGTTTCTATGCACGAATTGAACTAAAGTAGTAGGAAGAAAAACAACATAAACCAATTGAACTAGATGCTACCACCCATCTAGCGGTTTATGAATCACAAATAAGCTAATAACATTGATTAATTTTTATATGCATGAATAATATCCCATCAGAAAACAGGCAACTGAATAAGATAAAATTACCTCATTCCCTCCTAACGATTTATCCTCCTGGGATGATTCATTCCTGTTGCTACAATCATTAACAAACCAACAGAATAAGGAAATCATGGATACAAGGTAGAAATGGGGAAAAATTAAGGCAATCAAAAGGGCGTTTCACAAATACTTGCTACTGTGGGAATATACACCCCTTTCATGAGCTAGATCAAGCCTGAGAGAACGTCTCAACAGTTCTTTCCCGTTCAACATAAGGGCCTGATATTACATGATGAAATTCTTCAGCATAATGTACTTTAGGTACAAACAAATTAATGAAGCATGCCATCTTCGCACTTTATGAGTTCTCAGCGAAAATAACGAAAGACCAAACTAAAGCATAGCTGCACAGCCAACATTATAAATGAAAACCTGCTATGCAAAAATCAGGACAGAAATATCAACTTATACCCTTTGTCATTAATATTTGAAAGGAATTATGTATAGATAAAGAGCTAAATATGATAGACACTACTAAAGCTATCATCCATGACAAGTGGTAATGGGAGATATTGATGTAAAGCAGCATGGGAAAGGAGGAGAAAAGGAAGGAGGAAGAAAAGGACAACTCAGGGGAGAGAGAGTAACTGAAATCTCAAATTTATTCAATTCATCAAAGAGGTATAAGAAAGAGCTTTCCTATAAGGATTGGCCTCTATCAAGAATCTTCTTTGAGACCTTGTTTAACCTAATTTTAGATGTTTTAACTAAGCTTATACAAGAAGAAATCTCTAAGTGTATGCTTTTTCATAATGATATAGTTCTTATGACTGAGTCAAAAGAAAAGATTAACTCTATACTTGAATTATGGAGTCGAAAGGTTTTCACCTAAATAGAAGTAAGACAGAATATATGTACTACAAATTTGACAAGAGGCAAGTTAGAAGTGATTTTGAAGTTAAAATGAGGAATCAAATCATTCCACAAGTGGCAAAGTTATATTTCAGATTAATTATACAAAAAGATAGTGAAGTTGATCTAGATATTAGACATAGAATACAAGTTGAGTGGTTCAAATGGAAAAAGGCTACCAAAGTTATTTGTAATTGAAAAATACCTAATAAGCATAAAGAGAAGTTTTATCAAACTGCTATAAGACCAACAATGCTTCATGGTAGCGCATGTTGGGCTTTAAAGGGCTAAGAGCAAAAAATTAGGGCAACAGCGATGAGAATGCTAAGATGGATGTGTGATCATAGATGAAAAGGTAAGATTCATAATGAACATATATGAGGAAGTGTTGGTGTGGCTTCTATTAAAGAAATAAGGGTAAAAAATTTATTTTGAGATGATTCAGACATATACAAAGAAGATCATTAGAGATGTTAATGAGAAGGATAGATTAAATATTATAGAGTTCTCTAAAAAGGGAGCAGAGGAATATAGAAATAAACACTCAATGAAGCTGTTCAATGAGACTTTTTGGTTAACAACATATACGAAGATTTGATTCTTGATAGAGCATAATAGTGTTTTGCGATCCACGTAGCTGACACTACCAAGTAACTTTAAGGCTTGTTGTTATATATCCTTGTTCATAATCCTAGTTAAACTACCACAATCCTAAACAATAGGATTAAATTTCATTCAAATTTTGAGAGTAGGGAGGCAAATTTGGAGAATTCTATATTCTTATTCATAAAGCATATCGTACAGAGGTATACATACACTGAGTTAGAGAAGCATAAAAGGAAAACTAATGAAGGCCCTAACAGTAAAGAATCAAGATATCAAAGAATCAAATATAATGAAATAAAGTCTATTAAATTTTCCTGATTCCTAGGAGTTAATCTCGGGATTTTCCACACTCTTCCTCAAGTTGGATAATAAATATTAATCACGTCCAACTTGCCCACAAACTCTTCAAATTTCTCTTTGTGGAATCTTTTTGTAAAGATATCAGCTATTTGTCTCCATGTGGGCACATGAATAAGGGTAACCAGTCCGTTATCAATCTTTTCTCTAATGAAGTGTCTGTCCACCTCTACATGTTTGGTTCTGTCATGTTGAACCGGATTGTGGGATAGATTTATAGCAGCCATGCTCTCAGTGTACAATTTCATGGGGAACTCTATTTGAATCTTCTGTTCTTCTAAGATTCTTTCTATCCAGATTATTTCACATGTCACTTGCGCTATAACTCGATACTCTGATTCTACACTGCTTCGTGATACCACATTTTGTTTCTTCCTTCTCTAGGTTACTAGAGTTCCCCAAATATAGGCACAATATCCTATCGTGGATCTCCTATCCCCATGAGACCTGCATGGTCAACATCTGTGAATGTCTCAACACTTTGCTTATTGGATTTTTTTTTGTTTTTTTGGTGAATGCTTATTGGATTTTTCATACAATATACCTTTGCCTAGAGTGCCTTTCAAATATTTTAGGATTTTATAGACTGCCTTGAGATGTTTCTCTTTTGGGGCATGTTGAGTGTTGGCTTACTACACTGACTACAAACGCAATGTTAGGCCTTATGTGGTAGAGATAGATGGGTTTCACCACAAGCCTTTAGTACCGCCTTTATCAATATCGTCCCCTTCACTTTCGTCTTCTTCTTCTTATTCTTCATCTTTCCTCTTGGATTCATCCTTCTTCTTCTTCAATATTTGCTGGTGTTTCAGTGTTGTCTAGGCTACTAACAAATGCTCCATATTGAGGTGATAAAGCCTTGTAGGAAATATAGCTTTCAATTGGGTGTTTCGTGCAGCTTCTTGGCTTCTTCCTCAAGGCAATTAGAAGGTCCAGATCTACTCCTGTACTTTCTTCATAATCTGCATCATTTGCAGCAGACTCATCAAATGCCTTGGGGACAAGATCTGCCAACATCTCAAATTCCTGGTGATGCTCAAAACTTGAAGACTTGTTAGTTTTATTTCGTCCACTACAAAATTTGTTAAAGTCTTTATTGACCTTGGTTTTGTTTTGAGGTTGTCTGTCCCCCTCGTTTTGGGTCTGTTTCTCATTTTGAAAGGTTTCAAAAGAGAGAGGAGATTCTTATTCTAAGTAAGGTTGGGTGCTATTGTTCTCCCTTTTTGGAGACTGCAATTCCCTCACATTCTCCCCTTGAATTGTGGTCTAGTAAAAAGGTTCAAACTCATGGAAAGTAACATCACTGGTGATAAATAATTGTTTTCTTTTAGTGTCATAGCATTTGTATCCCTTACAGAGCTCGAGTAGCCTATGAAGATACATTTGACTACTCATGGATCCAATTTTCATTGGTTATGCAGATGAACATAAATAGTGTAACCAAAAACTTTTAAAGGAAGGTTGTTTTGAAGATAGGGAACATAGTGCTTTTTTTGTAATACTTCAAGAGGTGTTTGAAAGGACAAGGGTCTACTAGGCATTCTATTGATGAGAAAAGTGGCAGTGAGGACGGCATCGCCCTAGTAGAATTGTGGTACGTCGTGTCTGAGGAGGAGGGTGCGTGCTACTTCCAAAATGTGGAGGTTTTTTCTTTCAACAATGCCGTTTTGTTGAGTAGTATAGGGGTAGGAATGTTTATGAATAATGCCATTTCGTTGTAAAAAGGTACCAAGAGTTTTGTTAATATATTCTGAACCATTATCTGTATGAAGGATTTTTATAGAAGTTTGAAATTGGTTTTTGATCATTTGAAAGAAATTTATAAAAACATAATAGACCTCGGTTTTTTCTTTTAACAAGTTCGTCCAACACACTCTAGAGTGATCATCAATGAAGGTTATAAACCATTTGTGATGAGTTCGATCAGGAATACGGCTAGGTCCCCACAAATCACTGTGAATGGTTGAAAAAGGAGTAGATGGTCGATAAATATTCCCATGATAAGTAGTACGTTGGTGCTTTGCAACTTCACAAACTTTGTAGTAAATTTTAGAAATGTCTTTATTTGAAAAATTTGAAGGAAACATTTAAACCAGATATTGAAAATTTGGGTGCCTAAGGCGTTTATGCAGCAAAAGTAGGCCACTATCACTAGAAAGGGAAACTTTAGTACTAGTATTGGGATGCATAGAAGCTTTATCACAATAGCATAGACCATCAAATTCCTTAGCATAACCAATCGTCTTCCTTGTTGATAGGTCCTGAAATAGGCAATAAGAATCATAAAAATCAGCATGACACTTCTTGGTTTTAGTGAGTTTATGAATTGAGAGCAAGTTGCATTTCAGATTTAGGACATGTAAAATAGCAGAGTGTAATCTGGTCTGAAATTTTAATATTTCCTATACCCACTACTAGGGACATAGAGGCGTTAGCTCTCTTAACTTTAAGGGGCTCATCACAAGGAGTATAATCATTAAATGAAGCACGATTATCAGTCATATGGTCAGAAGCACTAGAGTCAACTATCCAGCACCTACCAGAGCACAGGCTTTGGATAACATTCAAAGCGTACATAAAGTTACCTCTATAGACCATAGTAGCAGTAGGTTGAGATTGACTGGGTGTTGCTTGTCCCGTGGGTTGAAGGTTAGAGAGAATCTCTATCAGCTTTGAGATTTGCTCGCTGGGTATGCTTTGGGACGTTAAAGGTCTATCATCATTTTTTTCGGTGACATAGCCTCTTCCTTTCCTTCTTCTGGGCTTCCAGCCTGCTTGTTTCCCATGAATATCCTAGCAAGTATCTTTAGTATGGCCTGTCTTCATACAATGCTCAAACACAGGTTTAGTTTTCTAACTCTTTTGATTAGTGCCATGAGAGAAAAGAGCAGAGGAAGATCCAGGGTTCAGTGGAGAATCTGAGAGGGGTTTAAGCATAACCTTTCTTAGTGAGTCTTCCCTCCTTACTTCAGCAAAGGCTTCTCGGACAGTAGGAAGAGGGATTTGGCTGAGAATACATCCCCTTACAGCATCAAGATCATCATTAACTCCAACGAGGAATTCAAACAAGTGTTCCTTCTCCACCTTCTTCTTATACTGTGCAGTATCCTCTAGGCATTTCCAAGACTCTTCACTCTAAAGGTCTAGCTCCTACCACAATGCAAACATGTTTAAGTAATACTCATTGAGATTTCCCGTACCTTGTTTCATCTACCACAATTTAGTCTTAATTTCAAAGACTTGTAAAACATTTTCTCCGTCTGAGTAGGCTTCGTTGACAGCGTCCCAGATTTCCTTAGCCATAAGGAGGAACATGAAGTTGCATTTGATAGTGAAAATCATTGCATTTATGAGCCAACATGCCACCATCAAATTTTTGGTTTCCCAGAGTCATGCGAGTTGTGAGTTGGCGAAAGTTAGTGAGTCGCTAGTGAGGTAGCCGATTTTGCCTCTTTCTTCGACTGTGAGTTGAAGTAATTGTGCCCATTCCCCATAATTGTCGCCAATCACCTTCTCTAGAACGATCAGAACGGCGTTCCCTTCAAAATTTAGTGTCGTTGTTGGTATCCTAGAATTCGATGGGTTCGAGTGCTCAGTCTCCATGTTCAACTAAGTCGACCCAGTGGGTATGTCTTTAGGCATCGTGTGTCAGGTCGGCAATTACTAAACAAAGTAATCTCCCCCCTCGTACTCTGATACCATGAGAGTAGGGAGGCAGATTTAGAAAATTCTATATTCTTATTCATAAAGCATATTGTACAGAAGTATATATACGCTGAGTCAGAGAATTATAGAAGGAAAACTAATAAAAGCCCTAACGGTAAAGAATCAAGGTATGAAAGAATCAAATATAATGAAATAAAATCTATTAAAGTTTCTTGATTCCTGGAAGTTAATCTCAGGATTTTCCACAAATTTAAAATAAACCAAATATTAAATAAGATAAGATAGGATAAGATAATAGGATAAATCCAATTCCAACTAAATTTATTTAAAAGAATATATATCCTAATTCAAAATAAATCAATATCCCAACTTTTAAAAAAAGATAACATAAATTTAATATTAGATTTTCCTAATCCTAGGATAGATCTTCCATTTTCCATCACAAATGCTTACAATTTGTGCTGCTGCCTCTGTGGCAAACAAAACGTGTGCGAAGCCTTTAAACCTCCCTTCACGGTCTGTAGCAAATCGAATATCAACAATTTCTCCACAATCTTTAAATAAATTTTCCCTGAACAAGAGTCAGGATCAGACTATATATATCTCTACGTGTGCATGCGCAAAAAATATGTGAAGCATTTGATAGAGAAATAATACATACAAATCCGCCCTTTCCACGCTATATGACAAGTTTCCAACAAATAGCATCTTTGATGTGGCATTTTGTTCTTTTGAAGTAGCTGACATTGTAGGCTGCAAAAGTTCACGGAATGAAATATCATATCAATGAGTCAACATTTTCATTCATGAAACGCAAGCAGTAATTATTGCAGCCCTCAATATAATGAAGCGAGGTTAGTTTAGTTTCTATTAAATTTATGGGGACACAGATTACATGAGTACCCCACAACTATATGTGACCATTTTCTGCTATATGAATTATTGATGGCTAAAAACACCCCTAATTATTCTATGCATGGCTACCATAATCATCACAAAACCAAACATATTTATTCATTTCGCTATTAAAAAAGTTTAATTCACATTTTTCATCATAATTTTTGAACAGTGCAATTATCTTAGAATTTATGCCCTGTCTATTTTATGTCTGTGTTGCCAAGGTAAGAAGGAATAACATCTGCCAATATATCAATATCCACTGACACTTCCAAAAGGAATCTTGCCAAATGCAATTTAGCCAGTCAGATATTATACATTAATGAACCTCCAATTGTTTTTAGGGAAGTTATATCTTGTAATCGCTAGAATTATGCTAAGAGGTGGAAATCCATCTCAAAATCGTCATGAACAATTTAACCACCATTATTGATCCGTACAAAATATTGAAGTGGGTTTGGAATTTTAAAAAAGGAAAAATACTTATTTATTAACCTTCAAAAAACACAAACCTAGTTATGGCATCGTAAAGAAGAAAATAGTTATAGCCTGTTGCATCTTGCGTCACTATTTGATGGGTGTAGATCCTGGTGAGAACTTATCACAAACATGGCACAGAGTACAATTTACTCATAATATCATTCAATACCATAATCACATCAGTTCACCCCTTATTTATAGGCAAGTACAAGTCATCTAATTCCTTTAACCAGAATCCTTTCTGATAGAAAAGAATCGCTAAGAAATTGTACTAACTACTGATCTTGCTTAACAATAATTCCTCCTAAAAAGTAAGAAAGTTCCAACCAGCAACCCTTGGGCCCATTGCCAATCTGCAGCAGCTGATAAGAAACCATATACCTGTTGTATAGTGACCAAAATACCCCAGACCAACACCCTGCTGCAACATGCCAATAGATGATTCTGGATTAAACCAATCCCCTCCCACTAACAACAGTATACCCTCAGCCATGGGGTGAAAAACCCTCCTTGAGATGTAGACCTTTCAACCTTCTTCTCTTGTATTTGACTTCGACAGTATATTGGAGACTCATCCCAAAAATGACAGCTGCAAGGATTGATTGAGAGGTCTAAATAAATGTGAAGGGCAACAGCAATAGCGGTGGACTTTTTAATCTTGCAAATAATCAAGGACAAAGTCCTCTGTAATAATGATTAAGCCATCACGGAATCACAGCTCTTCACCAGCAGAGCCTTTATGAGGCAGAGCAAAGCATGCTCCACATGAGTCTACGTTCCCTGCCCCTCCATTTGATCATCTCATTTGAGTCAATAACCTTAAGGTTACAAGAAAAATTCTCAAACAAAAGACTGCATCAGGTCTGTCCTTGATGTTCCCAAATACTACAGTTCTGCAGATCAGTCACGATGCTGGATGATCCTGGAAAGTGCAATACTGTTTTCCAATGTTCAAGGGAGATCCCTTTCAAGCTGTGTTTCTGTGGTGATGCGCCACAGTGACCACTCAGACTGCTCAAGTTCCGTAACACTTCAAATGAAGTGTCTGTTCTCGTTTTTAGAACTTGCCACCAATAATTGTGCTCTAATGAATGCAAAGTGAGTAGAAATGAAGGAAAAAGAACTCATCAACGACACAGAAGCCAATCTTGTTAGTTGTGATTAATGAACAAAGACTGAAGAAAATGCCTTAAACTTATTTGAAACATTTTGTCAATTTATATACAAGGTTGAGGCTCCTGGTTTTGTTTTTACCTTTCTTTTCTTTTCTAAAACGAGGCTCCTGGGAGTTAATACTACTAATTACAAACCACTACTACAATTAAGCCAATAAATATGGCTATTAGTTATAGACTATTCTAACATACAAATTAGATATGTACAGAACACTGCCCCTCAAACTGGAGCATAAATATTAGTCGTGTCCAACTTGTTATAAACATAATCCACTAAATTTTTCTTGGAAAAAAACAGAATGTGCTAAGCCCAATTACAAGAGGGAATGGATCCCAAGCATAAGAAAGCACAGAGTCACCCATGAAAATGGAAGCAGTCTCATTAGACCAAAAATGATCATAAAGAGCACCTTATCTAGCAAGAGCGTCCACAACTCTATTTGCCTCACATGGTTCATAGCTAAAAATGGCTTCCCAGTTCTGAGACCTTGTTTAAAAGACCAGAAGCTTCAGTAAAAAGAGTATCAACATTAGGGCTGAAATTATTTCGTCAACTAATCTCCACAAGACTTTTTGCATCTTTTTTATCCACTTGAAGTTCACTCAAAGCTTTGGCAAAAATATACTTGAATTGATCATTGGTCCTCACATATCATGTAGAGGTAAACTTTCCTTGGATCTTATAAAGAACAAAATGACAATCAATCCCAATATAATCAGTTCATCCATGGAGCACTAGGTTGGAAGCAGTACATGATGTGATTAATTGTCACATCGCAGCTTTGCAAGTACTTAGGTCTTAAGATCAATCTCATTCAATAGTTGATACATCCACCCATCTTCAATAATGACTATACCATGCCACTATATGCAGACTGCACTCAATATAATTGGTTCATCCATGAAGCAATAGCTTGGAAGCAATACATAATGCGTTGATTAATAGTCACACCGCAGCTTTGCAAGTAATGAGGCCTTTCTTTCGGGAGATGTCCCTTGTGAGTCTTCAAAGTGATTGCCAGGCTCCTCTAAGTTAGAGACTGAAATGTTTTATTTCCTATTAGCGTTTTCTTGTAGAGGATTTATATCCTCTGTCTTAGTAACTTTTTTTTGCATTATTTTTTCCTCTCATCAATAGAGGAACCAGGAACATAGATGAGGTGCTGATATTTAGCTGGAATGGACAAGCCTATACAAAAATTACAACATGCCATTGAGAACTAGACACGCATGGAAAAGCAACAACCATATTTGCAAGAGATAAAATTACCTCACCATCTCCAGAGAATGCTTGAAAACCCTTCAATGTGTTGTTCCTGTTCATACAATTAAAAATTTATACCAAAAATACTATTAAAAATTAAAAAGTAAAGTGAAAAGGTAAGATGTGCAAGCAAGATATAAAAAATTTAGACATGGAAAAAAAAAAAAGCAGTCAAATCATAAATACCTGCTATTAGGGGTATATGCAAACTTTTCACGGGCTATCTCAATTCTGACAAAACGTCTTAACAGCTCACTCCCATTCAACATAAGGGCCTAACATTATGTAAAGGTTCTTTAACTCAATAAGGTTTGGATACAAACAAATAGAAGAAGCTTGTCATCTTTGCACACTAATACAAGGACTCAACAAAAATAAGAACAGACCAGTCTAAAAGGTATGACAGCTTAGGCAAGATTATAAGTGAAAACTTACAGCATACAGCAAGAAAGAGATACCAACTTAAACCGTTATCATTTACTATTAATCTTTGTATAGGCTTGTCCATTTCACCAAAATAGCTTAAGCTATTTAGCTAGGATTGCCACAAATTTATGTAACATTCATTTTTCTTATTGTTTTTAGATGTCGGAATCCTTTCAAAGTTTGTCTTTGACATCAAGCAATATGACAAATGCCAACATGAAAAATGCTTACATTCTGTGCAGCTTCTTCAGTGGCAAACTCAACATGAGCAAAGCCTCTAAAAGTCCCGTCACGATATAAACCAAACGAGACATCAACAATTTCTCCACAACCCTTAAATAGATTTTCCCTGAACAATGTTGGAATCAGAGAAAGAAATACAGAAAATATGTGAAGCATTTGCACAGGAAATTATACATACAAATTGGCCCTTTTCATCTCTAATGATAAGTTCCCAACAAATATCTTTTTCGATGTGGCATTTTGTTTTTCTAAAGTCAACGCTGTTTTAGGCTGCAAAATTTGAGGGAATGACATATCATATCACTGGTTGATCATTTTGATATACAAAGGGAAATAAGAAAAGAGATCTGTCAATTACAACTCCCTTTCTAGTTGCTCCCATTGAGGTAACATCAACCATTTCTTCATCTTTCACCTGATCCATACCAGCATCCATTATATCTACAAGTGATCATGAAGTTAAATAAATTTAGCTTTTAGCAGACACAGACAAATACAATGATACACATACATCTTTCTGAGTTGTACAAGGTTTCTCCTCGATCTCTTCGTTTCCTTCTGAAACCTGTAATTAACAAAAGCCACAGTCACTGCATGGCCTCAACATATAGCGAATTAGCTAGCATTATTACCAATTCTCAAAGTTTCATCCCTGTCAAAAGCAAAACATTTGAACCATCAAGACTGACTACCCAATATCAAAACCTTTACAATCTAGAACTAAGTCATGAAAAAGTGACATTAGTTCAGCTTTTATTAAATTATTGGGAAGATGAACAACAGCAGTACAGCATGAATTAAATGACATGTACCACTTTCTACATTGTAATTTACAAATAAACCAATGGAACTCTTCCCCCCCCCCCGGAGCATGTCTACTCTTTCATCCCTGTAAAGACATTTATTTAGTTTCTGCTTAAAAAATTGATTCTTATTGAGACAAGAAAGCATGTACAATACAATAAACGAAGGACCTTAGGTTTTGTATCCTAAATACACAAGCATCCAGCGACAACTACAAGAAGGCAGGAGCACCAAAATGGTTACTATGACTCACGGCTAATTACCCTGTAGAACTCAGGATTAGAACAGAAATATGACACGTGGGAAGACTTGTACACACATTTGTCATGTTGTAGCAGCCCCTCTTTTAAAACAATTCAGCTTTCAACGAACGAGAATCAAAGACCTATTAAACTCTAACATCTTCAGAAATGAATACATAATTGTACACAAGACAGTGTACCATCACTAAAGGGTCAAACGCTTCTACTCAACTACAACAAATCTATCACAGCTAGTACTTCCTCTAATGACATCCTTGGTTGACAAACAACAAATTCCCAGATTCTTGACCTACTTTTCATGAGAGGCCTCCTCAAATTCTTTCAACTGCTCTCCTTGACCATGTTGTCTAATCACAATGACACAACTCTGATATGACTTTGATTTTTTACTCCTTAATAGTTTTCTTGACCATCTCTCAACTAGTTTTCCTCTAGGGTTTCTCACAAGGGCACCCATTAACACAATTCTTGGATTTCTATCATGTTAAAATGCTCATAAAATTTACTTGTGGCAGAATGATGATCATAACACTTCTTATTATATTTGAATAGGGAGCCAAAAGCCTAAACTTAAGACAACTTGCCTCATACTTGGACCAGAAATATGAAAAGCTGTATTCAAACAAGGACCAGTCACTAAATAGCTCATTAAACCATGATGAGCTTAACCAATAAACAACTTTAAACATAACAATGATGACCCAGAATCCAATAAAGATATTTTCTTGGGGTATTCATCAACTTCATTAAAGAGAATACTGATACAGGTGTTATTAACTCATTCATACTCCTACACAATACAACGTTTGAAAAATTGCAATCCAAGTTGGGCGGGATCGATATCTAGAATGCAAAACTTGAGGGGGAGTGTTGAGAGTTAGGATATTTCAACCATTATTTTGAGTAGTTTAGACACTGGAATATTTATTTATCTTATTCTTTTGTTGGATATAATTTCCCTCATCAGTGATTGAATAGTTTAAGCGCTGACATGTACCTCTCACCTGTTTTCCTGTTTTATAGATATGTCTTTATCTTCCCTGTATTTTCCGTAAAATAAGGCAGATCTGTGGTCTTCTACATAGGTTATTTATGTAAACCTAATTCCACAAATAAGATTATCACTGAGGTGCAATTTCATCAGCTGATTCTTCAATAACTACAGGAATCCTAAACAATAATAAATTCACAACTTAGATAACAACAGGCCCAAGACTCTACATAATAATTAACTCCAAAACAAAGGAATTCCATTTAGATAAATTTCTCAACAAAGCCCGAATTTACATTGCACTCATCAAATCCTTCTCTTGATCCATAGCAGGGGTTCTCATTTTTCCCAATTCCCTCCCTTTGAACAACTGCAGAAGCAAGCAGCTTCTTAGATGATGACGTTAAGCGAGTCTTCTGAACCTGACAAGACAGTAAGAGCAAAGATTATACAACAAGTCAATCAATTGGACAAGAACGATCAGAGAAAAGCCCAATATAAGACTTACATCATCCTCATCTAAGCCACTATCCAGGGATGAGTCATTGCTTGACACAAACTTATGAGTGGATTTATTATTACCTGCAGCAGAAGTAGCAAGCGACTTCTTCGATGATGTGGTTACCTGGGATTTTAACCACTAATTCGTAAATACTAAATTGCAGTCAAAACATCCAACTATTAAACAGAATTCAGTAACCCTGAATTTACATTGTCCATATCCTCATTAGTTTTGCTGTCAGAATCTAAGCCTGAGGGTTTGCTTGAATCAACTTTCTTAGCAGGCTCTTTCTCACCAGCATTAGGCAATTTCTCACGCACTATGGTTGCTTCTATTTTTATATCCTAAAAACCATCAGCCAAATATCATCATTAGGATAAAATATTTGAAAAAATTAAAAATGAGTAGCCCAGAGGATCTCATTATTTACATCTTTATCAACTGAGCTACTCCCGGTATCTGATCTTGATTCGCCTTTCTTCCGTACAGCACTGGGCCCACTCTTACCTTCAGCAGGGGCTACGTTGGACTACGGAGCATAAAAAACAATGCCCAGAAAGTATCAGAAGTTTGAAAGGCGGCATTCAAGGGAATCCAATCAACATAAGAATATCTCCTTGCTATTTTGAAAACAGTCACTATTTATAGTGTCATAACTCATAAGCAACTTGCTCACTCACATCATTCAAAGCAGAATCTTCATCTGAGTTTGCAGAATCTAAAAAGGAGTCATCTGAACTACTTTCCTTCTTTTGATTTTCAGCATCCCAGTCTCTCTTCTGCTTCTTTGCAGTCACTTGCTTCTCAGGTTCATCTTCACTTTCTCTCTTTCCTATATCAATATCAAAGTACGGAAACAACCACACGAAAGTTTCTATCAAAAGAAAAAATTAAAATAAGCTAAACTTACACCATTTCAAATCAAATCTTCAAAACAATTGAATCATTGAGACTTGAGAAAATTATAATCCTATCGTGTCAGGATCTCACACCAAAGTTGGATTTATCAATTAAATACACCATAGCAGCAACGGTGTGGGCTCACTACGGTCATGGAAACGAAAGGAGAACAATACACACAGTTGAAAAGAAAAAAATTTCCCAAGAAATAATGTCGAAATACAAAATTGACGAAAAGAGCATCGAAGCACAAGAGTAGACGAATTCTCCATACCAATCATGGCAGACTTCGATGGTGAGACTCCAGCAACAGCAGCGTCAAACTATAAGTCATTGAAAACAATTAGCAGACAAGTTTCTCATCCTAAACCATAATTGACATTTCTGCAAACAAGTCATCCAATGGGGAAAAATGAACCAGTTCGCCAAATTTCATACACCGAGATCTGATTTCTTGCCAGACTCGCCCATGCTGGAGGCAGATACCGCAGAGACGAGAAGAGTAATGAAATACAGGGGTTTAAGGGTTTTTGGCCCGTGGGAATTTCGATCACTGACTGCCAGAGCCGCTCATGCTCCAAGTTTGCCTGGCTAAAAACCAAAAAGAAAAAGACCTAACAAAACAAAACAAATTCTTGATCATCGGACGCCAGGTAGACTCCACCTGGTTATCACCGCAGGATACATAAAAAAGAGTGCATAGAAAATGCTCCACCAGGTAGACAACAAAGGCGCAGGGCGCTGGGACCGGGGGACTTCAAAAAAAGTTTCAGTGTTAATAAAAAGAAAACTAGTTAAAGTTAGTTAAAAAAATTATATACCCCAGCCAGATGGGGTTTTTTGCAAGCTAGAAAATAGCTTGATACAAAATATAAGTCATTTAATAAGTAATTCATAATAAGGGTCCGTTTGGTATCATGGAATTGATTTTGATGGAAACTGAAATGGAGATGAAGATGGGTATAGAAATGGAAATGGAGATGGATATGAGGTTTGAAAATATGTTTGCTATAAGTATGGAAATCTAATTTAAATTTTAATTAAAATATATATTAAAATGTGTAAATACTAAAACACCCTCAAGAATTCAAAAAGAAAAAGCAGCTCCTCCGCCACTCGAATCTAACATCAAGGAGTCTTTGCCCAACATCATCAACAATGTGGCGTAAATAATCAATCCACAAGCATCGATTATCACCAGGAAAAAGAAACGCACATGTAGAAGCAAAAATCATGGTTCTTCTAACATGCAAAAATTGATGGAACTTCAACCAAAGAAGTAAAAATCATTTTTCTTCACAGATACAAAAATTGATCAAGTTTCAGAACAAACGATTTCTTTAGAACTGACGACCCATGTTTTCAAAGGTTAATTTTTCAATGATTTTGTCCATTTTGTCAGATTTGAAACTATAAAATCAGAGCTTACTTTGAAGATTAGGTGAACAGAGTTTGGGTCAAAAGATAAAGACTTCTAAAAGGTAGCCGTTGCTATCGCCTTCAGGCTGTCAGAACAAAGGTCGATAGTCGCCGGTGATGAGCTTGAAGGTCGTTGGAGCAAAGGTGGGTAGTCGCTGGCGATAAGCTTGAAGGCCTTCAACTTTCGCTTGCATCTGGTTAAGGAGGGTAAAAACAAAAGTAGGGAGATGGAATTACAAATCTTGGGGTGTGAGGGTGGAGGCCAATTCCATCACTTTTGGTGGAAATGGAATTGGAAAATTTTCCAATTCCATCATACCAAACAAACATCTTGATGGAAATCAATTCCATTTCCATACCTCCTAATTCCATCATATCAAACGTGGCATAACTCTTTCATCTTGTATTTATAAGTTTTAAATTTAAGAAAGAGTGTGACTCATTTTATAAGTTTCAATTTAGATTTGTCTTAGTATTTAATTTTTTTTTAATATTATCTTTAATTATTTTTTTCTTAACATATTTTTCTATACATTCTTTTTCATTTTATTTTCTATTTATTCTAAGAGTATATTTAGAAACAAAAATATATTTTAAAGTTATTTATTGCTTTTAACTAATTATTAGTTATTCCTAAATTAGTTATTTAAAGGTTATAATAAGGACTTAATAAAGTATTTATCAATTTTATTTCTATAATTAATATTTAAATATATCTTTTTGTATTAATTTTTTATGCCATCCGGATTTCAAAACTAAAGATACGGCCATACCGGCACTCTAGAAACCTTTTTGACTTTTTTTTTATTAACATTTTTTATGGTTGGCAAAAAAAATTAACATTTTTCATGTTAGCTCCTTTTATGATTAGAATTTGATAAAACTTATGCATTGGATGCTTAATATAATAGTTAGTTGTAGGTTCGATTTTTTTTTTTTCAAAATACCTCTATTAATAGTAAAGATTCAAACAAATAAGTAATTTTAATATATATTATTAATAATATTAGTTTAAATTTACCCATTTTTTAAAATAACTAATTTAAATCTTTTTAAATATTTTTAAATTAGTTACCTAATTATTACATTAAATAAGTATTTAATAGCTTTAGTACTACATGCATGATTTTAAATTTTGTGATCTTTCCCGAAAGGGGGAAAAAAATAGTTAACGAGTATGAAAGATTCAAGAGAAAATGACATTGAGGTCTTACAAAAGATAAAATATTGTAAAAAAAGTCTCTTTAAACTTGATAATTGCATGAAAGTCCCAAAGGGACTTGATTGCATTAATGAGAATATGAGTAGACACTATTGCCCTTCCTAATGAAGAGGCAAAAAACAAAGGCATAATTAATTTCCTTCATCTTTTTCATAAAGCTCCTGTATGAGAAAGAAAAGCTTGACAACAAAAGAAGCAAAGTGGTGGAGCACCTTCCCTATCACCACTATTAAAGTCAAGGCACCTTTCGCTTTATCCTCTTAGTTGATTTTGAGGTTCAAAACTTTCTTTCCTGTTTTCTCCTAAAATATTTTGGTTAGCATATTGGGTTTTTGTGTAGCGTATGTAGAAAATTGTTTCTCCCTTTAGCTATTGCTAAGCTTTTGTTTTTGGTCTATTATGAATAAGGTAACCAATTGCAGGGCTTATGGTTTTGGTTCGGTATATGTTGGTAATTTAATTTGGGGTTTCATCATGGGTTGGTAGGGTAATGATGGATGCTTTGTTTTTGGGCATATTACGAGTAGATTAATTGTGGGTTTGCTCTATTTGATCATGATTTAGTGGGAGTGGATGAAAAAGATGAAAATTCGTATGAATAGAAATCCTTACTACAAAAATAGGAGAATGCGTTTTCAATCCAAATCATGATAGTTGTCAATATAACTATTTGACTTATTATATAGATTTACATTAAAGATAATGAGTATGTTTTAAAAACATCTATTTTCTATTTTCATATAGGGAAAAGTTTGTAAATAATGGAAAAGATAATATGCGGTATATTGGGGATAGTGTGAGAACAAGAAACATAAAAGAAAACACAAGTGATGAAGAGTTAAAGACAACGGCACCTCTTTTTTTTTTAAAAAAAAGGTCTCCAAAGTTCAAGCACACTTGAAATTAAATTTTTGTTAAACTTATATCAGTGGATATATTAACAAGTGACAGTTCCAATATTAACAAGTAAGGAAAGGTGTATTGACAAGAGAGAGTGCAAATAATGACAACTAAATACATATCAAAATGTAACATTTTGGATTATACCAATCTCAATTGCATTGCATGGTGTTATTGTTGCCATTTGATTTTGTCTTACCCTGTCTTCTTTGTTATGTTTTTTTTTTTTTTTGCAAAGTAATTGTTTAACTATAACTTGTTCCGTGTTATTAAGCCAAAATTATTTGAGAATGAGGGTAAAATCGACAATAAAGTGAAATAGGCCAAAGTTTATATCTAGTCTGATGCGTGAGTTTATTTGCTGTACTGAATTAATTTGTTTATTGTGGTTTTCAATAAGATTCGCATGATCCTTATATGTTAAATTTTGTTTACAGTGATTCGTGTAACATTCATGTCCTCTCATGACTACATGAGTAGAATGGCACTGTTCGTGATAATGCAGGATTTACTATGCCATGGTACTCGAAGAATGAACAACAAAAGCTTGAGGTCGGATGCCTATGATAGTTGGTTACTCATAAAAACGACAAACATAGGGATAAAGTGCTATCAGTGCTACTAGATTTCAACCAAAGCAAAAGGAGATAAAACCATTAACAATTATGGATGTTAGAAATGAATAGAGCCCTCTGGTTAACAACCCATTTTATAGTAGGAATGAATTCAATGATATTAAATTATATATAATATGATTTAATACTCTCTTTTTTCGTATGTTAATCTTTTCATATGTTACGTGTAGAAGAACCAGTCCAATTACGTTGAATTTCATTTATTTCCTTACATTTTAAAAAAAACATAATATATATCAGTAGAAAACTTAACAAGTAATAGTGCAATTACTAATAAATCAGGGTAAAGATATTAATAACTAGTACAAGAAACATTGACAACTAAAGTATTCTTAATTTCAAATTTGTTATTGAATTATATATATATATCTTAAAATATAAATATCATGACACATTATAACTAATTATAACTAAAGTGTATTACTGAAAGTTATATTAATTGAATGCTATTAAAAAAAGACAGTTCCAACCATTGGCAAATGATGGTGAAGTCATTGACAAATCTAATAACAACCAGTGATAAGTTAAGGTGTAATAAATGACAAGCAATTATATAATTTCATATCAGTGATGATAAGCATGTTATCAGGGATTTTATATAACATCGTAGCCAACCTTATATCATATTATAGCTAACTTTATATCATATGACATTATAACTAACTTGATATCATCAGATAAATTGACAAGTGATAATGCAACGATTGACAAGCAGGGAAGCATATATCGACAATATAAGGTGTAAATAATTACAACTAATTACACATCAGAATCGAACATACCATTTCATAGCTAACTTTCATTCACATACGCACTACCAGAAAAAAAGCTTTTAACGGCGGTTAAAAGTGGCTTTTAACGGCGGTTTTGAAGGCGTAGTTGTTGAAGGCGACGTTGAAAGGCAAGGAAAACACGGCGGTTTTGAACCGCCGTGGAAAGTGGACTTTCCACGGCGGTTCTATAGATAACCGCCGTGGAAAGTCCACTTTCCACGGCGGTTCTATAGTTGACCGCCGTGGAAAGTCCACTTTCCACGGCGGTTAATTATAGAACCGCCGTGGAAAGTATACTTTCCACGGCGGTTATCTATAGAACCGCCGTGGAAAAGCGTTTTAACGGCGGTTATATGTATAACCGCCGTTAAAATTTTTTTTTTTTTTTTTAAAATTCTGCGAAATTTTCGTGTTTACCACCCTGCAGTTTACAGCTCCAAACAAATGTAGGCAGTGCAGATCACGCAGAACAAGATCAATTAGCTAGTTAATATACAGCAATGAAATTTTTTTTTACACAATTCCAAAATAGGGAAACCGGCCAACATAATAGAACTAAGTGGTAACCAAGGAACACGTATTGGCTAGCTAGGTCCAACAATTCTGAAATAGAAGTAACTACTTCTTTGTACAATGGAAATCATGAACAATATAAGAGGGAACCGAGAGAAAGCTAAATTTCAATTTTTTCTACCAATGTTGTTGACAAAGTGTCCCTCATCAAGTTGATGTCATCC